CTATCTATCTATCTATCTATCTATCTATCTATCTATCTATCTATCTATCTATCTATCTATCTATCTATCTATCTGTCTATCTGTCTATCTGTCTGTCTGTCAGTCATTATATCTATGTGTGTGTGTGTGTGTGTGTGTTTGTGTTTGTGTATTATAAATGTTTTGTAGATGTCTCTCTCTCTCTCTCTTTCTCTCTCTTTCTCTCTCTCTCTCTCTCTCTCTCTCTCTCTCTCTCTCTCTCTCTGTGTGTGTGTGTGTGTGTGAATGTACTGGGTCTCTCTCAGATTGACTAGTATCAACGTCTTTGTTGGTTTCACACACACCAGCTTCACAGAGAACAAAGGGCTTGAGCTGAAGTCTGTGTGGTGTGTTTGATCAGTTCAGAAATAGTTAGAGCTTAACTCAGAACTCTAGGATGAAGGAGGTTTTTGCTCCTCGATGGCAGCTGAAGGGCGGAGGGGTCCAGCTTTTACACGACATCATCCTCATCATGCGTCAATCTGGGTATGTGCTGATCGTCAGAGCAGTGTGTCATGGAAATGGAAGTGCATAGCAAATTAATGTTGTTTACTTCTCTGTTTTTCTTCCACATTTAAAACATTTTCAAGGCGATTAAATTATCAAAACATTACTACATGCCATATTAAATTATAATAAAGTTTTTTTTAGTATCAGTATGTTTGATAAAATTAGCGTTTATAAGATATAAATCTGATATAAACATGTAAGGCTTGTAGTTTGTCACTTCTGCCTACAGTAAATGGATCATTGTGTTTTCTTGATGTCACCTCATACTTTTCTCTTCAAATTATCCGACCAATCAAATGCTCTCAAGTATCTGACATGCCCCACCCCCTTGTTTTCGTTTGCTTTTTATATGTTGTGCTTGAGCTCAAACACTCTCACTGGCAGAGCTGTGATAAAACAAAACAATATTGGCAGATTTTTTTTAAAGGGGGAGGAGCTACTATATGCCCCGCCCTTTCTTCTTGTTTTAGTTGAGATTACTTCAAATATCAAATAAAAATGCACATTTCAAAGCACTTTACATGACCTTTAACCATACCTTTACACAGGGCTGAGCGATATGAGGTAAAATTCATATCATGATACAGTATTTTCCACTGTCCAGATCAGGGGTGCTCAATCCTGTTCCTGGAGATCTACCTTCCTGCAGATTTCAGTCGCTACCCGTATCAAACACACCTGAACCAATTAATTAGGACCTGAACACCACTTGATAATTACAGGCAGGTGTGTTTGACAAAAAATTATGTCATCAACCTGGAAAGCCAATATTAAAAGCATTAAACCTAAATACATAAACATTAAAGGGGACCTACTATGCAAAAATATTTTTAATAAGGGGTTTTAACTCAATTGTGTGGCAGAAGTGTGTAAATATAACCAGGTACTAATGGTACAAGTGTATTATTTTTCTTTTTTAAATTACACTTGATAAAAACAGTCAGCAGAAACACTTTGATTGACATTCTCCCTTTGTACCTGCCATCAGAGGCGGAAAGCCCCGCCCACTATTGACTATCTCTCCCATATTAGCATATGACGTTAGTCTTGTTTTAAATCTGGCACTATGCTGATACATTGACATTTATAGCTCCGCCCTTTTCTGAAAAGAGCACAATCTCATTTGAATTTAAAGTGACAGTCACCAAAATGACACAATTAAGATCACAGCTTAAAAAGATTCAGTTTCAAAGTTATAAAACATTATTTGTGTGGTATTTTGAGCTGAGACTTGACACACACACTCTAGAGACATCGGAGACTTATTTGACATCTTTTAAAAAGGGTCATAATAGGTCATCTTTAATAGATAATTTTTTTACATCACCAAAAAATTATAAAAATCATGTATTGCACGATGATATTGCCCAATATAATGTTATTGCATCAGATCAGGCCTAACTTTTTGGCATGGCTTCCAGTCTGCCAGCATGTCATGTTGATAAAGTTGAGATGTTGCACCCTGTCAGACTTTATCTCCGTGTGCAAGGGTCACGGTTGTGCTCCAAGTGTCAGAAATCTCCCAAGGCAGTCAAGAAGGAGTCAGTTTATGATCTAAAACTGATTCCTGATCTCCTGTTTTTCAGTCTCAGACCATGAACTACGTGGGTCAGCTGGCAGAGACGGTGTTTGTGACAGTAAAGGAGCTTTACCGTGGTCTGAATCCAGCCACGCTTACCGGTGGCATTGACGTCATTGTTGTTCGACAGCCTGATGGAAGTTTCCAGTGTTCACCGTTCCACGTCCGCTTCGGGAAACTCGGCGTCCTGCGCTCCAAAGAGAAAGTGGTGAGCTGGAATGAAGTCATCTTACACTGGTTCTAGTTTATAGTGTAACTGTGTTTATGCATTGAGCAACTGTCCTGCTCTCACTGCAAAAATGCTTTTCTTACTGTTTCTAGTCCAAATAGCTAGAGAATCTGAAATCAAGAAGCATTTTCTAGACAAGCAAAACCTATTATCTTGTTTTCAGAAATAATAAGTCAAAATGAAGTGAGTTTTTCCCTTAAAACAAGCTAAATAATCTGAAAATGGAGTTTTGTATTTATGTCAAAATGCAAAACGAGATTATTTTGCTTAGTCATTCATTTTCCTTCAGCTTAGTTCCTATATTCATCAGGAGTTGTCACAGCGGAATGAACCACCAACTTATCCAGCATATGTTTTACAAAGTGGAAGCCCTGTCAGCTGCAACCCAGTACTGAGAAACATCCATACACACACATTCACACATACATTATGGCCAATTTAGTTAATCAATTCCCCTATAGCGCATGTGTTTGGACTGTGGGGGAAACCGGAGCACCCAGAGGAAACCCACACCAACATGGGGGAACATGCAAACTCCACACAGACATGCTAACTGATCCAGCCAGGACTAGAACCAGCGACCTCCTTACTGTGAGGAGATTGTGCAAACCACTTAGCCACCGTGTCGTCCCTTTGCTTACCCCATTTTCAGATTATTTTGCTTGTTTTTACTTAATTTTGACTCTTTATTTCTTAAAAAAATACAATATTGTTTGCTTGTCTTGAAAATACTTGATTTAAGAATTTATAATATAATATAAAATTTTTCTTGATTTATTGGAAGTTTTTAATTTACAGTGGTGGATATTTCACATTAATTTATCTTGATTAAATGTAACATTTTATTTAGTTAAACTTTTTTTATTAAATTTTATTTTACAAATTAAACGCCATCCATATTTTCATTCAGCAATCTCATTTTAGCACTTTACACATAATTCTGAAGTCTTCTCATGTTTTCATTACTCTCTCAGGCAGTTTTTTGATTATTTGTGCATGTATGTGTAAATCAGTTTATTTTTCTTTATTATTATTTATTAATTGCAGATATTTACATATAGAAAAGCTGTTTTTTCTGAATAAATCATTGCAAAAAAAAAAAAAAAAAAAAAATATATATATATATATATATATATATATATATATATATATATATATATATATATATATATATATATATATATATATTGATTATGTTCATGTATATACTGTGTTTTATATTTAGTACTAGTCAAAAGTTTGAACGCATGAATGATTGAGTGTTCTTTTGACTGGTACTGTACTTTATTATCGGCCGATATATATTAATATCGGTATTTTTTTATCGGTATCGGTCCCAAAAAAACTATCGGTTAGGCTGTCTATACTTCTAATGAACTCTGTGTAGTTCATTCTATGTTCTGTATTTGTTACTATGCAGATCATATCAGCTATTATATAAATAATGGTGCTTAACAATATACACTGTAAATATCTGTAAATTAGCAGTTTTCTGTATTTTGTGATTCATGTTTTTGTTTTTCCCCATTTATTCATGTTTTTGGATTGCATTATGGGATTTTTCCTCCAACATCCTTTAACCTTGAAAAGTTGGAAAAAGTGACTTTAATGAACATTTAATAGTTTGCAGTGCTATGTTGTCCGGGTTGGTGTTGTATAAACTGCCAGTACATTTTCTGTTATTTTACACACTTATTTCTCTATATGTAATGTCTAATACTATTTCAAGTGACTAAAATGTCAATAAAAGTCACCTTGTCAAACTGTAGAGATGAATTTTCCACATCAAAAGTCGACAGAGCAGAGATCAACATCCCACAATGCAATTCACAACCGTAAATAAACGGAAAACACACAAAAACATTCATTAACAGATATCTTTAACAGCGTATACATTGCTTTTTATTTTTAAATGTGTAAAGAAGTATCCTCATCATTCATATTTTAACCCAAGACACTCACTGTTGAACAGGTGGACATTGAGATCAATGGAGAGCCCGTGAGTCTGCACATGAAGCTAGGAGATAACGGAGAGGCGTTTTTCGTGGAGGAGAACGAGGATTTCGAGGTTTGTCCGGATGAACGTTCACTGATCTCTCATGTAACGTTCAGCTGTGATTATCCCCATGTTTTCTTTTTCTATCGCTCTCAGACAAGAGTTCCTGCTCATCTCTGCACTTCTCCGATCCCCACCGATGTCCCAGAAGCATCTGAAGTCACAGAGTCTCAACTATCTTGCTCCAATCGGCGTAAAAAGAGGCGCAGAAAGCGTGTGCGTTCAGACACACATCTGCATGAAGACGACAGTTCCTCCTCGGATGAGAAAGAAAGTCTAGATCCAGACGCCCTCAAGGAGGAGTCACTTCTGGCAGCAAGGTGAGCAGTTTACTGAGGTTATTGAGTTTCTATTTTTTCAGAAATGGTCAAACGGGAAGTTTTGTGGCTGCTTTTTTTCACGAAGCTAGTTGTTTGTATAACCAGCGGTATGTACACCCTGTGTTGGGTTCGTTATTTTAAAAAAGTTAATAAAGGGTGAGTTCACCCACAAATGTAAATTAGCCCATTATTTAAGGGCCATTCACACCAAGCATGAAAACTATTAATATAGTAGTGCTGGGCAAAGATTAATCGTGATTAATAACATCCAAAATAAAGTAACTATATCATATTTCATAACTATATTATATGGTAACAGGATCCTGTTTAGTTGCAAAGATATTTAAAATTTATAAATAATTTGTATCATATACATGTCTATTTACGTTTACTTAAATATTAATATTTTCTCTATATATATATTTTTTTCTATATATATATATATATGCATATGAGTATTTACATATACCTAGAAAATATACACAGTAGGGCAGAACAATATATCGCATGAGCATCGATATTGTGTATATATAGTGTGTATCCGCAATAATCCTATCGGGGGATAAGATTATTATATATATATATATATATATATATATATATATATATATATATATATATATATATATATATATATATATATATATATGTATATATATGTATATATATATGTGTGTGTGTGTGTGTGTGTGTGTGTGTGTGTGTGTGTGTGTGTGTGTGTGTGTATGTATGTATGTATGTATGTATGTATGTATGTATGTATGTATGTATGTATATGTACACGTACACGTGTGTGTGTGTACGTACATGTGTGTGTATGTGTATATATATGTGTGTGTGTGTGTGTGTGTGTGTGTGTGTGTGTGTGTGTGTGTGTGTGTGTGTGTGTGTATGTATGTATGTATGTATGTATGTATGTATATGTACACGTACACGTGTGTGTGTACGTACGTGTGTGTGTATGTGTATATATATATATATATATATATATATATATATATATATATATATATATATATATATATATACATATATACATATATACATATATATATATATATATAGATATATAGTTTGTTCAATTTCTGTGTATAAGGGTGGTGTAGTGGGTAGCATGAGGTTGCTGGTTTAAGTCCCAGTTGGGTCAGTTGGCATTTCTGTGTGGAGTTAGCATGTTCTCCCTGTGTTGGCGAGGGTTTTCTCTGGGTGCTCCGGTTTTCCCCCACAGTCTACATGCGCTATAGGTAAATTTAAATAAACTAAATTGGCCGTAGTGTGAATGAGTGTGTATGGATGTTTCCCAGTAATGGGTTGCAGCTGGAAGGGCATCCGCTGCGTGAAACATATGCTGGATAAGTTGGCGGTTCATTCCGCTGTGTTGACCCCTGATTAATAAAGGGACTAAGCTGACAAGAAAATGAATAAATGAATGTTCATTTTCTGTATTTGAATACTGTTGGACTCCTCAGAAAACAATAATGCACTGTTTATTTCTTGGTTTTTGCTTGTAATTTATGATAATTTATGCAGATGCACTACATAGAAAAAGACTTGATTATCCCTGTTGATCTAAATTAATGAAATCTTTACAAATAGAGCTTTTCAAATCATGTAGTTAAATTATATTCATATTGCAACATGAGCAAAATATCGCTGTGTTTAATTTTTTTCGAACATTGTGCAGCCCTAATAAATAGTACACAGATATATACTGTATAATATGTCAAAACAAGCTTTTATTTTGGATGTGATTAATCACAATTAACCTTTCCCAGCACTTACATATAACAATCACTATAATTGTGTCCATAAAAACAATAATCTGTTTAGTGTATGCTTTTCTTTTTGCATTACTCTGCTGCAACCACTAGATGTCATCAGTGTGTTTGTTTCTAGCACATCACGACCAGGGGAGTCCAGCTCGTGTAATCCTTCTTATGAAGCACTAGAACAGAGGGAAGGTTTGAACAACTGGATCACTGATGCTTTTTGTTTTATTTCCTCTACAGTAAGTCTATATATTACTCTCTGTCCGAGGAACCCTATGAGGAAGCGTCTGGAGCTCGAGAGGTTCATCCTCACTCTGATGGAGAGTGTTCGTTGAATGAGAGGTGCGTACATACAGCAGAAGAACAGATTATTATTTTAATTCCTTTACAAATATTTCCCAAGTGCTGTTTAACAGCGAGAACACTTTTTTAATCTTTTAATAATTACTAATAACAGTTTTCTTTTGTCTTTGCCATGATGACAGCACATAATAATGGATTAGTTACATTGCAAGATACTAGTTTTCAGCTTAATATGCAATTTAACTAGGTTATTTTGGTTTAAATAAGTCATTCTTAAAGGGGACAAATGAAAAGAAATAAGGCAAATAAGAGGAAGACTTCATCTAGAAGATAAATATTACAGGAATTCATCCATTACTTTATTAAACAGCACAGTGGAACAGATGTGGTCTCTTCATCCTTAATCATCTTCATATGATTTTGCTCCGTCTCTGTTCGTATAATTGGATTTTCTCTTTGTCTTCTGTGTCTGTAGTGTGTATTTCAGTCGGCCGTCGTCTCCTAAGAGTGATTCAGAGTTGTGTAAAGCCCAGGAGTCTTTAGGGCCGCAGATGCAGTGGAACTGGGGCGCTTTTCCCAAGGTACTGCATTCAGATTCTGCATATAAGCCGCTTTTTGGAACAATGCAAAGGCTGAAAATGATATTGGAATAATGTGATTTGATAAAGCCAGTATTTCAAAGGGGAACGGTGATTTTCTGTAGGCACTGTACTAGCAGATTACACTGTGTTTACTCTCTGTTTCTGTAGGTGTGTCCATCAGAAAGGGTTGAATCTGATTCGCTGACTCATGAGCTGCCCTCCCCTATCACTCCTTCTGACCACTCCCACTTTCGCACGATCCACCGGCAAACATCTGTTGACATCGACAGCACTGACTCTGCAGTGACTGTGACTGTGGTGAGACCAGAACCGCAGATTGGTACAGTCAGCCCTGTTTCATCAGATGAAGCCGTTTGTTCATCCATTAACACACAACTAAATGTAAAGTTCACGAATACGCTTCAATCTCCAGACGACTGTTTTTCTCAGAGCTGGAGTGGACTGGAAAACAAACACAGCCAGGAGATAATTGCTGAAAAAGAGATTGAAACTATGACTAGCTGTGGTAATACAGTCAATGAAAGCAATAACGATGCTAGTTTAGATAGCGTGGCTCATTTAGAAAACTGTAGTGAGAACAATATTGTCCGAACCATCACATTTGGCGAGTCAAATCAGGATTTAAAAGCAGAAGCGGAGCTCAACTCAATCTTACTACCAAAGCATCAAAGCTCTGTTGAAATACTGACACTCAGGGCTAGCGAATCAGAAGAGGGGGCGGGTTTAGAGACGTTACCGACCAATCAGAATGCTGACAGTGCTGGAGTGACAGGATCTCAGGAGATCATCGTCCAATCAGAGGATCCGACAGTCCTGGAGGCCTCTAAATCAGCTGACTCTCAGGACAAGAGGAAAGGTACTGGATTATATGTGATGTACAGTGTGTACTTGTGAATAATTCACTAGGTAAAACATTTCATGTGGAACTGTATCTTCTCTTTTTTCCTAGTCAAGCGCAGCCATCATTTGGGACCGTCTGATATTTATCTAGACGACCTCTCCAGTCTGGACCCTGAAGTCGCTGCCCTCTATTTCCCCAAAAGGTTTTATGCTTCAATAGTCGATATGCATAATTTATTTGTTAAAAATAGATTAAACAAAATGTGATTATTTTAAACTACTACAGAGTATTAATAATAATAAGTATTATTGACTACTACTGCTACTACTCACTCTTATGATTCTCATAAAATAAACAATCATAATAATACAAATTATTATTATTAACAATATTCATTCATTCATTTTCTTTTTGGCTTAGTCTCTTTATTAATCAGGGGTCACCACAGCGGAATGAACTGCTAACTTATCCAGCATATGTTTTGCGCAGCGAATGCCCTTCCAGCTGCAACCCATCACTGGGAAACATCCATACACTCTCATTCACATACATACACTACGGACAATTTAGCTTACCCAATTCCCCTATAGCTCATGTGTTTGGACTGTGGGGGAAACCGGAGCACCCATATGGAAACCCACGCCTGCACGGGGAGAACATGCAAACTCCACACAGAAATGCCAACTGACTCAACCGAGGCTTGAACCAGCGATATAATTATTATAATTATTATTATTATTATTATTACTACTATTATTATATAATTGATGAAGATAAAATTAGTAATAATAATAATTATTGTTATCTCTGTGCCAATAGCCTAGTAGTGGTTAGTGCGACACATAGCACCCAGGTGCTTGCGGCAATAATAATAATAATTATTATTATTATTATTTTTATTAACAGTAGCAATAAAGTATAAAGTCTAAACTAAATAAAACAGTTAATAATATTAACATGTTTATTACTACTATGCAATTATAGTATTGTTTGAGTATGTTATTATTGTTTTATTTAACTATCTTTGATGCAATAGCTAAATAAACTACAATAATAAAATATATTAGTTTTAATGTGTTATTTGTATTTTTATTATTATTAGCAGTACTATTATTATTATGATGATGATAACAACTACTATTTCTAATGTCTTTATACTTGTATGCAAATTTGCCTAATATTTATAAAAATGTATTGGTTTTTGTGTGTTAAATGTGAAGCTACATTTTCTCACTCGCGCGTTAATAACTTGCATAAACATATATAAACATATACATTATATTATTGACTTCTTAACAACAAAATAAAACAACACTGGCTCATTCTGAAAGCTTAGCCGTATATACATTTCTGGAGATCGTGAATTATGTAGCCAGAAGTATGTATGGCTGCATTTCATCTTTAAAACGAACGCTACATGGCGGTATGACGCCGTTTCTTTTATGGACGGCTTTCCCGCTGTTACTAGTTTGTCCAGTTAGATCGCCATGTACGTCGGCAGACATGAGACGCAGAGAGGAGCTGACCACGATGATGGGGTTCGAGTACAGTGAAGAACTGTTTTAGAAAGCAGGTAACACAAAAGCAGAAGCCAAAAAATTTTATATACAAGTAAATTACAGGGTGAGAATGTGGTAAAATCTGAAAACGTGGTAAAAATCAGGCGAGACCTTTTCTTTTTCTGGATTGCTTTTTTAAATTGTTGGTTGGGTTTAGGGAAGGGGCGCTGGTCAATCAGTGTTTTTGAAACACTGTCAGTGTCGGTTTAGGTTCAGTCAGTCGACAGCGGCCTCTGGTGGATTTACGCAAGAACAGCAGGCACGAATGGCACTCACGAGAGAAATTTGAGATCTCTAAAAGTGTACATATCACCCTCTGGTGGATTCGCAAAAACTGCAGAAAAAAACGTAGCTCCTGGGATGTATTTGGCGCTCTCCAGAAATGTATATAGGGGTACATTTTCAGAATGAGCCTAGGTTAAAATAATAGGTTTCTTTTATTTAGAGACTCAAATGCATAAATTCCAGAACTGAGCAGTATTCAATATTAGGGGTAAAAGCTGGCATTTTTAAAGTCTGTCACAAAAAAAACCCCAATATCGGTCAACATTAAATAATGACAACAACACATTTTGTGTATGCTGATGATGCGACAATAAACGTGCTGCTGATGATGTGACAATAAAAGTGATTTGATTTGATTTTGTGGACAGATATACCTATATGGTAGTTTGTCTCACTGTTCTGCAGTAACTATTATTCATGCTTTTTAACTTCCTCTCTTCAGTGAGGCCGAGTCCTCAGATCTGCGCTCGAGCCATGGGCCGGATCCGTCTCCTCCGTCAGGTCAGATGTCCCCTCAGTCACAGGGCAGTGCTAATGCAGACAGCGGCACTGAGTATCTGTCCGACTCCACCAGCGACTCTCTGGACGTCACCATGTCTCTGTGCGGCAGAGGAGACATCAGTCAGATCAGTAAAGGTAAGAGTCGCGCTTATAAACAGCGCTGCTAATAAAAAGTGGACATCAGCACTAATGCACACTTTTAAACATTATACATATATATAAAATGCAATCTGCAATGATTTTGCTGTTTTGTGATATTCTAGCTGCAAGTAGTTTTGTAAAATTGCTCCAGTGTTTTTAACAGATGTACTCATCTCTCTTTTTTGTTTATGTGTTGCAGAGAAATTCATGGAGCATCTTGTCAAGTTTCAAGACTTTGTCAACAACCCTGGAATAATTGAAGACCCAAACCTCGTCATCTGCATCAACTCAAAGTTTGTTACATTTTCAGTACAGTTCACGTCTGTCTGTCTCTATCTATCTATCTATCTATCTATCTATCTATCTATCTATCTATCTATCTATCTATCTATCTATCTATCTATCTATCTATCTATCTATCTATCTATCTATCTATCTATCTATCTATCTATTCTGTCTGTCCGTCCGTCCGTCCGTCCGTCTGTCTATATCCATCCATCCATCCAACCATCCATCCTTCCTTCCGTCCTTCCTTCCTTCCTTCCTTCTATCCTTCCTTCCTTCCTTCCTTCCTTCCTTCCTTCCATCCTTCCCTCCTTTTATCCTTTCTTCCTTCTATCCTTCCATCCTTCCTTCCATCCTTCATTCTATCCTTCCTTCCTTCCTTCTATCCTTCCATCCTTCCTTCCTTCCATCCATCCTTCTATCCTTCCATCCTTCCTTCCTTCCATCCATCCTTCTATCCTTCCTTCCTTCCTTCCTTCCTTTCTTCTATCCTTCCATCCATCCATCCATACTTCCTTCCTTACTTCCATCCTTCCTTCCTTTTTTCCTTCCTTCCTTCTATCCTTCCTTCCATCCTTTCTTCTATCCTTCCATCCTTCCTTCCATCTTTCCTTCCATCCATCCTTCTATCCTTCCTTCCATCCTTTCTTCTATCCTTCCATCCTTCCTTCCATCCTTCCTTCCATCCATCCTTCCATCCTTCCTTCCTTCACTCCATCCTTCTATCCTTCCATCATTCCTTCCTTCCATCCATCCTTCCATCCTTCCTTCCTTCCTTCCTTCCTTCCTTCCTTCCTTCCATCCTTCCCTCCTTTTATCCTTTCTTCCTTCCTTCCTTCCTTCCTTCCTTTCTTCTATCCTTCCATCCATCCATCCATACTTCCTTCCTTACTTCCATCCTTCCTTCCTTTTTTCCTTCCTTCCTTCTATCCTTCCTTCCATCCTTTCTTCTATCCTTCCATCCTGCCTTCCATCCTTCCTTCCATCCATCCTTCTATCCTTCCTTCCATCCTTTCTTCTATCCTTCCATCCTTCCTTCCATCCTTCCTTCCATCCATCCTTCTATCCTTCCTTTCTTCCTTCTATCCTTCCTTCCATCCTTCCTTCTATCTTTCTATCATTCCTTCCATACATCCATCCATCCATCCTTTCTTCCTTTTTTCCTTCTATCCTTCTATCCTTCCTTCCATCCTTCCTTCCTTCCTTTTTTCCTTCCTTCCTTCTATCCTTCCATCCTTCCTTCTATCCTTCCTTCTATCCTTCCATCCTTCCTTCCTTTTTTCCTTTCTTCCTTCTATCCTTATATCTTTCCTTCCTCCCTTCCTTTTTTCTATCCTTTCTTCCTTCCTTCCTTACTTCCATCCTTCCTTCCTTCTATCCGTCCTTACTTCTATCCTTCTATCCTTCTATCCTTCCATCCTTTCTTCCTTTTTTTCCTTTATTCCTTCTATCCTTCCTTCCTTCCTTCCTCCCTTTTTTCCATCCATCCTTCTATCCTTCCT